TTCCCCCAATTCCCCAGCGCTGTTCCCATCCCCTAATTCCCCAATAAAAATCTTAAAAAAAAAAAAAGAACAAACTTCTTTTTTTGCTTGACACATGCAACAGCTTGGATGGACCTTACGGGAATAAGGTTGAGTGAAAAACCAATCTCAAAATGTCACATGATTCCATTTATATAACATTCTTTTTTTTTTTTTTAAAGATTTTTATTGGGGAATTGGGGTGATGGGAACAGTGCTGGGGAATTGGGGAAAGGGGAACAGACAAGTTGCTGTCGTTTTGTTCTTCAATCTAGTTGTGGAGGACGTTGCTTCACTGGCCCAAGTTGGCACCATCATTGCGCTCTTCCCAGGCGAGGCAGATCAGTCACCGGCTTCTGGACGGCCGCTCACTGCGGCTGCTGGCCGCTCACTGCGGCTGCTGGCCGCTCACGCTGGCTGCTGGCCACACACGGTAGCCCATTGCAATCCACTGCCACAGGGACTGCAGCCCACGCCGTCGCCAGCGACTCATGGCAGCCCAGCTCCAGGTTGAGCTGCCGTTCAGCATCTTAGCTGTGGAGGGCAGCGTCACTGGCCCTCACATGTGGGATCCGAACCGGGGCCCTCTGGCATCCCAAGCGAGTTCTTAACCATCGCGCCACTCGGCCGGCCCTATATAATATTCTTAAAATGACAAAATTACAGAGAAAGAAAACAGATTAGAGGTTGCTAGGGGTTGGGGACAGTGGTTGGGGGGTGGGGTTGTGACTATAAAGGGTAGCTGGAGAGAGATCTTTGTGGTGATTGATTAGTTTTGAGTTTTGCTTGCAGAGCTGGTTATACAAATCTACACATAATAAAACGACTTAGAACTTTACACACACAGTACCAATCTCAGTTTCCTGGTTTTAATATTGTACTATACTTAATATAAAACGTCACCACTGGGGGAAACTCCATGAAGATGCATGGAACCTCTCCATACTATCTTTGCAATGTCCTGTGAATCTATAATTATTTCAAAATAAAAATATGAAAATAAAAAAGAAATGCAACACAAACCACAGTGTAATTCCCTAGAGTATAAAAATTTCTGGAAAAAGAACCAAAGGATCCTCTTTACTCGGGCACTGTGGTAGGACTTCCTGTCTCTGTCTTTTCTGTTTTTGCCACAGGCAAGTGTGATTAGGAATGGGGTATTTTGACCCATGTTGTGTTCTGAATTCAGATATGTTGTAGAGTGTGGCTAGAGTGGTGGTAGTTTTTACCTAGTAACCTCCCTTTCTCTGCTCCTTATGACTACTTACTATCCAAGACCCACCTGAAGGAGGTCCTGTGAGAGCAAAGCAAAGAGAATGTAAGTAGAAACAACAGCAGATAAATTCACCTTATTTTATTCAAGGATGAATTCTTGGCAAGATACCATTTCTTCTCAATTTATTTAGCATTAAACTTCGGAGTGAGATGTCATCCATCACAGGACCATTATTAACCTATTTATTTGAATTGATAGATGAAATATTTGACAAAAAGGACTGGCTTTGCCAACACAGTTATATGGCAGACACTTTCCCTGCATTGAATAAGTTAAAAATATATACAGCTTCAAGATTTTGACAAAAATATACCATAAGATAAATACATTGTACTGTAAGTATTTTTAAAAGTTTCTGTATATTATGACATCTTAAAAAAGACTTTTGTGGGGGCGGCTGGTTAGCTCAGTTGGTTAGAGCGCAGTGCTCATAACACCAAGCTTGCCGGTTTGATCCCCACATGGGCCACTGAGATGCTCCCTCCACAACTAGATTGAAACAACTACTTGACTTGGTCCTGAAAAAAGCACACTGCTCCCCAATAAAATTTACAAAAAAAAGAATGAAGAATGAAAAATTTAAAATAAAATAAATGTCTCTTTACAAAAAAAAAAAAAGAAAAAGAAAACACCTTTGTGAGTAAGGAGAGGCTGCCCCACCCAGCGTAGCTAATCCCTAATCCCTAAAAATAATAACAACTTGCCTACAAACGTGCTTTTCATAAGTAAACCAACCAATCCTGAGTTTATACCCCCAATTACCTCTTTATCTAACCCTCACACACCAAGCCAATATTTCCCTTGCTCTAAATCATGTTATGTGATGTATATTTTACCACAACAAAAGAAAGAAGGAATGAAGCACTGATACATGTTACAACTTGGGTGAACCTTGAAAATATTATGTTAAGTGAAAGAAATCAGTCACAAAAGCCCACATATTATATGATTCCATTCACATGAAAGCCTAAACTAGGGAAATCTCTAAAGACAGATAGATTAGGGATGTGGGTAGGGGGCGATGGGGAATAGAAGACTGATAACTAAAGGGTACAGGATTTCTTTTTCAGGTGAAGAAGATATTATAAAGTTAACTGTGGTGATGGTTGAACACATCTCTGAATATACTGAAAACCATTGAATTGTACACTTTAAGTGAATGAATTATTTATGTGAATTATTTCTCAGTAAAGCTGTTTTTAAAAGAGAAACGGACTACTGATATATGCTACAACATTGGTAAACCTCAGAAACATTTGCTAAATGAGAGAGAGAAGTTATACACAAAAGACCACATACTGTATGATACCGTTTATATTAAAGGTCATTTTTGGGAAAGAGAAGCAGATGACAAGTGGTCTGGGAAGACCTAGTTTCTGTTCCCTTCCCAGCCTTAAGACTAGCACCACTCATGGGGAGGCAGGTTAGCTCAGTTGATTAGAGCGCAGTGCTCATAACACCAAGATTGCTGGTTCGATCCCCACATGGGCCACTGAGTTGCGCCCTCCACAACTAGACTGAAACAACAACTTGACTTGGAGCTGATGCGTCCTGGAAAAACACACTGTTCTCCAATTAAAAAAAAAAAAAAAGACTAGCACCACTCCAAGTGACATCTCAAATGACTACCTGGTGGAAGATCATGTGAACAGTATAAACACCTGCGTGTGGCAAGTGCCTTGCCCAGATTCAGCCCTAGTCAAAATTGCCCCTTGACCTCCAGCAAATCATTTTGCTGATAACTACAGAGCAAGGTGCAAGCAGAAAGGAGAAAGTAAATCAAGAGGAGACCTAAGAGACAGAACCTACTACCTTGGAAAGTCACCGCCTGAGAGAACTCTTCCTCAATTCATCAGAGGTACCTCTACTGCCTTCCCTTCCACCCCACTCCCTCCTAGGCACTCATCTGATCACCCAGGCTCACTTCACATCAGATCTGGGTGTGAGGAGTCTGAAGTCAGTTTTTAAAGTGGTAGAATCTTCTTTTGGCCATCCAGGTTTTGGAGAATTTGGCCAGCCTTCCATTCTATGGATTGTGAATTATCTAGTGACCAATGATTTCCTCCTCTCCCTCTTCACCTCCCCTGACCACCTAGCTGTTACTCCACTTACCTACAATTCCCCAAGTGGAAGGAAGGAGACCAACTTGTACCTTTGGCTTTCCTTTTTAAGAAACCATATGTAAAATTTCTCTGGGGAACTGGGTGAAGTTAGGGGCCAAACACTGAATGGAGGAATCAGTTGTTTCAAGTGATCTTTCCTCCTCTATGCTCTGGGGAAATGTAAGTTAGTTGGTTGTTTGTGACAGCCAGAAAGGATCTTATCAGTGGTGTGACTCTTTTATCAAACTTCTTATTGAAAACTGGGACACTGGAGTGTTATGAAAATGAGGGGACCATATCCTGCACCACCTTCCTCATATGTTCAGTGGCAACTCAGTTCTCCTGGTGTGCCTGAGCACCAAGTTGGACATGGGTTGGGGTAGATGGTAGCAAAGGAGGAGGAGGAATCTTTAACAGAAGTATTAACTGCCCCTTTTACCCTCTTTTCAGAAGTGGCCTCTCTAAAGAGCCCTCTTGTCCTCTGGCTCTTAGATTCCAACATCTAACTTAACCTTATCCTGCTTGTACACATGCAATGAAACACACTTTAGCTTAGGCCTCTGTATAGGATGACGTATTTGTCTACAGTGGCTAATGTAAACTTCCAAATAGTTGCTCATTTACAAATAGCTCTGTAGTATTGCTGAAATGTCTACTATATTTCTTGCAAGTAGATGATTAGATATAGTGACTGGATCACATTCATGTTAGATTTTTTTGGCAAGAATATTTTATTTTTTTTATAAGGAGGTATACAACCTCTGGTGGTTTCTCTTTTTGTGAGTTATCAGCCATTGATGATCATTGCCTAAATGATCCATTAATTAGTAGGGGTTGTGAAATGCAAACCTACATTTCTTTCTTTCTTTGTTTGTTTTTAAAGATTTTATTGGGCAATTGGGGAAAGGGAACAGACAGGTTGTTGTCCTTCATTCTTAGTTGTGGAGGGCGCAGCTTACTGGCGCATGTGGGAATCGATCCGGCAGCCCTGTTGTTCAGAGCTCGCACTCGTACCAACTGAGCCATTCGGCCGGCCCCCAAACTTACATTTCTTAATTTGTAAAAGTAAGAACATTAATTCCTGATGTTAGAGATACCGGGGTTCTTATTGAGATGAAATGCAATAATAATCACTATTTGTTGAGCTACTTTTCTTTACATGCTGTGTATACTTGTGTGAAGTGTATACCAATACCATACCCAATAAACAGATAATACAACTAAGATGCAGAAGCAACTTGCCCAAGATCACACTGCTGAAAATTGGGCTCAGGATTCAATTTCAGGTCCATCTAACAATAAAGCTTAAGTCCTTCCTATTGCTTCCCTCAACGATTGATTTATTGTGGAACTAGCCTAAGCAAAGCACTTGCTCTAAGCACTTCAACTATTGAACTCGTTGCACTGTAGCGTAGTACACATGCAAGTAAGGCAGCATAAACGTGTGGAAACACAAAGATGCCTCTCAGAAGCCATCGCAAGCGGAGAGCGGTGCGCATGCGCGCAAAAGCTCTGCGAATGGGTGGGTGAGTCGCTCCTGAAAGGTCATCCCGCCTCTAGGGGGTGCCACGTGAGTGTGGCAGGCACCCCAACCCGGCAGGCGGCACGCTCTTTTGCCTCCACCAGTGCTCGGGATCTCGGGATCCAGTGGAAAGCAGTTCTTCAGTTTAAAGGTTCCGGATCTCTGGCGGCGGGGACACAAGAGAGGAGGGAACGCAAAGGCCACGTAAGTGACCAGTTCATTAATCCCTCAGCTCCAAGCAGCCAAACCACCTCCCTTTTTACCCCCTTAAGGTAATGCGAGAATGGGCGGGGTCTTACTTCGGGGCGGATGCAAGGGGAGGTCCCGGGTGGAGGGCTGGGTTGGAGGCTTGAGAAACCCGGCTAGGACGCGCTGTCAGGGCCAGCTGTCATGTCAGGGCGTTCTGACACCACCTTTGCTGCCTGGTCAGCGTTCCAGCGCTCCCACTACCTCAGCCCCCGGGCGCCGGCTCCCTGCCTGGACCTCGCCCTTGGGGACGCGGGTTCCCCACTTTCTGGGAGGAACGTTCCCTCCATTTACTCTCGGCTTTCCCCAAAGGTGAAGCCTTCTCCATGGAGCGGCTCCTGGCCCAGCTGTGCGGCACCAGCGCATTGCAGCCGCTCCCGGTGTGGGAGGAGGGCACCACTGGCCACTGCTTCACCCAACTGGTGCTCAGCGCGCTACCCCACGCGCTCCTCGCCGTGCTCAGTGCCTGCCACTGGGGCACCCCGAGGTGGGTAGAGACGGATTATAAGCCATCTATTCCACGTGTGCCTGCAGACCTCACCGAAACCCACATCTGCGCGGCAGTGTGACTAGAATAGTGAGGTCGCTGGAATAGGGCAAAAGCAGGATGACATCTGGACATTACCACTTTGGCAGTGTGTCTGTTTCGGGGCAAGTTACCTATCTTCTCTGAGCCTCCTAGCATGTTGGGAGGTTTACATCAGATAATGTATTTAAGCTTATACCGCAGTGCCTCGCACATTTTTAAAGGCCCGATGTATGGTAGAAATCATCACTTTTGTAGATTTTCAGCTGCCCAAACACAACTGTCATGGATTGGAGGCAAAGTGGGTGAACAGTGTTTTTAGCCAAAAAGGATAACTTGTGTTGAAGTTATAGGACCAGTTTCTCACCACTTCCATCTATGAAACCTCGATGTTCCTAGGCTAAGGAAAGCATTTGTACAAAGCTGGAGAGGCAGTAGGTAGAAGAAAAGAGCAAAACCAAAACCTTAATCCTGCCTGGGTTTGAGGCTGTAAGGTGCAGGTGCTAAACTCACTTTAGTTTTGTACTTGGTTCTGGTATGGATAGATATGGCTAAAGTTAGTCTCACTCTGGTTACTGACAAGGCAGAAGGAAACTGTAGCCTCTGCCTTTGGGAGTCCCTAGTCTAATGGATGGACTGTGTCCCTATCCAAGATGAATTAGGGGACTGATGAATCCCTTCCTTGGGTAGGAGAAGCTTCGTATCTGCTTTGGCTAAAGGAATCCTGTTTTGTATCTTATGCAGAATGAGATGAAAGAAAAGGGAGGGTTAGTCAGTTAACGCTGACATACACAGCTTGCTCGGAGGAGTATCTAGTCTTTTTTTTGGGAATTCACAGTCTAACGAGAAGGCAAGAAAGACCATCATGTAATCAATAGAAATTGTGGTTATCTCACTTATCAGACATTTGTGCATTGTTGAAAAGGGTTAGAGAGATCCAAAATCTCAGACACGAAATGACCTCAGAGAGCTTTGGGTTCAGAGTCTTCACTAGTCACTGTACTGATGAGGAAAATGAGATGCATAGAGAAAAAGAGACTTGCCCAAGTTCATGGTTGCTAGCCAACTTGGGGCCAGTGTACCAGCCTCCAAGTGCCCGATGGCCTTTCTTCAGTCTCCACATCTTAGGAAATAGGATTATTAAAGGTTGACTTTTATTCCAATAAAACCCATTCGTATAACTGATCAGCTGGACTTTTTCAAGGAAACCTGAGGCATTTTTAATCGACAGTTAAACTTTTTCAGTAACCCACCCCTGCCAACAAAGGGAGTTAAAAATTCAGCCCACTTTTTATATGAACTTGCAAGACATTCTGACATTTACTGCTGCAGGCATATTTTCCCATACTTGATTTTCAAAGCAGACATATCACCTATTTGTTTATTAAAAACATGTTTTGCATGCCTAGAATATATAGACAAAACTGGAAAGAGGTTTTTCTTCAGCTGAAGGAGTCACAGAATGATCCACACCAATTTCTACAACCATTGGAGAGGCAGAGAGTAGAATATTCTAAGGCTTCATAAAACTTAGGCTAGGGGTGGCTGGTTAGCTCAGTTGGTTAGAGTGCAGTGGTCATAACACCAAGGTTGCCGGTTTGATCCCCACATGGGCCTGAGATGCGCTCTCCACAACTAGATTGAAATAACTACTTGACTTGAAACTTAGGCTATAGTACTAGAGTATAGAAGGTGCACTTAAGTCAAATTTTTATTTACCTAATAGTGCTTCAGGTTAACTTAAAGGTTATTTTAGGTAGATACTTTGTGAAAATGAATACTCATCCTGTAGTAGTTATCAATATGAAAATATAGGATTTTTCCCCCCTAATTAGAGTCTTTATGTTTGGTACAACTGTAACTCAAAACTGTTAATTTCTATGGCAAAAGAATGATCAGAAATGGTGTGGACAGATTAGAAAATGGATTCTGTTAATCCAGAAAAACTTTCTGGGAGAAAAGGCCCTAGGGTCCAGGGTAAAGTGGGGTAGAAATAAGGTGTACAGGGCAGGAAAGGGAGTTGATTCCCTCTAGGGAAGCAAGTTATTGGAGGTATGTCTGGGGCCTTGAGTCAACCATGATGTGCCTCTTTTTCTCTTTTCCTTCTTGTCCCCAGGAGTCCAGGTTACAATCTACCCTGCAGTCCTGGTTGGCGCCTCCGACTCACAGCCGCTTTCCTGCTCTCCGTCTTTCCACTGCTAGACCTCCTTCCAGTTGCTTTGCCACCAGGGGCAGGCCCAGGGCCCATAGGGCTAGAGGTGCTGGCAGGGGGTGTGGCAGCTGTGGCCTGGATCAGCCACAGCTTGGCCCTGTGGGCATTGGCCCATTCCCCTTATGGCCGCTCCCGGGGGCCCTTGGCCTTGGCTCTGTCTGCCTTCCTGCCAGCCCCAGCCCTAGTGCTGACCCTGCTATGGCACTTCCAGCGAGGCACACTTCTGCCCCCACTTCTCCCAGGGCCCCTGTCCCGCCTGTGCATTCTCATCCTGCAGCTGGCTGTAATCTTGGCCTATGGACTGGGCTGGGCAGTCCCTGGGGGTCCTCGGGAATCCTGGGCCCAGGAGCCCCTCCTTTCAGAGGGACAGGAACCTGAGGTAGCTGAGGATGGGGAGAGTTGGCTGTCACGCTTTTCCTATGCCTGGCTGTCACCCTTGTTGGCCCGTGGGGCCCGTGGAGAGCTCCGGCAGCCCCAGGACACTTGCCGCCTCCCCCACAGGCTGCACCCAACCTACCTGGCCTGTGTCTTCCAGGCACACTGGCAGGAGGGAGCCCAGCTGTGGAGAGCCCTGTATGGGGCTTTTGGGAGGTTCTATCTGGCACTTGGACTACTGAAGCTGGTGGGGACCATGCTGGGATTTTCAGGTCCCCTGCTGCTGTCCCTGCTGGTGGGCTTCCTGGAGGAGGGGCAGGAGCCACTAAGCAATGGCCTGCTCTATGCCTTGGGGCTAGCTGGCGGGGCTGTGCTGGGTGCTGTGCTGCAGAATCAGTATGGATATGAGATACGGAAGGTTACACTTCAGGCACGGGGAGCCGTGCTGAATATCCTGTACCAAAAAGTTTTACAGCTGGGACCCAGACGTCCTCCTGCTGGGGAGGCCCTGAACCTACTAGGCACTGACTCTGAGCGGTTGCTTAACTTTGCTGGGAGCTTCCATGAGGCCTGGGGCCTGCCCCTGCAGCTGGCCATCACCCTCTACCTGCTGCACCACCAGGTGGGTGTGGCCTTTGTAGGTGGTCTGATCCTGGCACTGCTGTTAGTACCTGTCAACAAAGTGATTGCCACCCGCATCATGGCCAGCAACCAGGAGATGCTGCAGCACAAGGATGCACGGGTTAAGGTGAGGGGCTGCTTGGGGTCCCCCAGCAATCCGGAGACCCCACCCAGGATCCTGGTCCCCTGGTCCTCCCATGCACAGTGCCTGAGGGAGTAAATGTGATCTAGAAGTTAGGCGCTCAGACTGGAGAAAGATATGGGTTCACATCCCTACTCTACCAGTTGGCAGTTTAATCGCCTCAGACAAGTCACTTAACCTCTGGGCCTCCATTTCCTAACCTGTAAAATGAGGATAACGAACTTGCCTTATATGGTCATTGTGAGGATTGTATGAGATAATGCTTGGTACAGTGCCAGTCACAAAGTAAACCCTAAAAAACTGTGGCCCATATTATAATATTAGCTCATGCAATCCTAAGCAGCAACCCTAAGAGGTAGGAGTAACCTGTCTGGGAACCAAATGAGTTTTTAGTGATTGCGCCAGAATCCAAGTCTCCCACCTTGTCATCTAGGGCACAGATCATCCCATAGCTGCATGTGGAGAGCCCTAGGGGAACCCCAGCTGCTTCTGGGTGGGAGGCTTTGGGGAAGAGAGTAGGTCACTCTCCTGCCTGGGACAGCCCTAGTTGTCGAGTACCTGGCTGAGTCAGTTCTGCGTTCTGCAGTGATCGTGGGTACCTTTACAGAGGTGATGACAGGCGTGGAGTCCACATAGCATAGCCATCAACATCTTACTGTAATAGCTCAGAGTGCTAATGGGGTGGAGGGTATCCCTGATAGCTGGTTATGGCATGAGGCCTTTCCCCCTGCCCATGATAGCTACAGACTAGGTCTCCAGAGCCATCTGGGAAGGCTCCCAGTGCCTCCCTGGTTTGCCAGCTGGGGATGTACAAATGTTAGGATCCAGGGAGTTTCTCTGGCCCTTGCTAATCTTGCCTGGGCCCATCAGCCTATCTGACCCTGGGCTGTGGTGTGGCTGCTTATACCTGTGTGTTCCTATGGGAATAGTTCCCATACCACCCAAGCCATGGGCTGAACTGGTGACCAGCCCCCAAAGCCCTTAGCTTCTGGCTTTGGGAAATTGTCCTTAGTTTCTCAGCTAATGGAAGGAGTGCTTTTACCCCAGTGTGGTAACCTCCAGCACTTTCCACCACTTCATCTCCTAGGAAAGTGGGGGGATCCCGCTCTGACCTGCCCCCAGCTGGAGCATATGCAGGAGAAGTAAAAGACTGGGAGGGGAAGCAACCGAGGGCTTAAAAAGTGTTCGAGGGCAGGGTTTCCAAATAGAGCTGAGGTAAGGAAGAAAACCAGGGCTAGGGAAGTACAGAGTCTCTAGGGGCTCAGAGTATTTGGCATCCTCTGCCAGAAGCCTGGGGAACACCGGGCAGAGGAGAAGACACATGAACAGTGTCTTCACTTCACACTGCTCTCTTGTCCCCGTTCTTAGCTCATGACAGAGCTGCTGAGTGGCATTCGGGTCATCAAGTTCTTCGGGTGGGAACAGGCAATGGGGACCCGAGTGGAGGCCTGCCGGGCTCAAGAGCTGGGGCGACTCCGGGTCATCAAATACCTGGATGCGGCCTGTGTGTACCTATGGGCTGCCCTGCCAGTTGTCATCTCCATCGTCATCTTCATCACCTATGTCCTCATGGGGCACCAGCTCACTGCCACCAAGGTGAGGACGGGGTGGGGGGAGGCTGTAGGGAAGCCTGGGAGAGAGGCAGCAGCAAGACGACTGCAGTGGAGTGAGGAGGTGGGACCCGCGCTGGCTGGGAAGGCGGGAGGCGGATCCCTGACTATCCCAACCAAGGGGAAATTCTCCGAAAGGACCCTTTTTTCTGGGTCCTTGGATATGTAACCCTTCCCTCTTTAAAGGAATTCCTTTTTTTTTTTCCTTTCCTCTTCCTTTTTTTCTAACTTCCGGTCAGGCCCAAGCTCTGTGTTAAGTCCCCTTATTCTCATTCTGATAGCCTTGAGGGGGGGAAATATCCATGATCCATTGCTGGCTCTGGCCAGGGCCAGATGATGTTGCTACTTAGAAATTCTGAGAATCTCTGAGACTGAGCTAGGCCTGTGTGCTTACCAAGGTGCAATCTGGATCCCTGGAGGAACATCCGGAATTTCTAGGATTCTTGGAGTGGCCACCTTTGCCAACTCTGATCCAGGGGTTACCCAACCAACCCCTGCGTTCTGCTACTGCCCTGTTCTTCCCTCTACAGACCTGTCCACAGGGCCACCCATACAGCAGGCCTTCAGGTGTTTTATGCCCGCTTTCTACTCTACTTAGGTGTTCACAGCCCTGGCACTGGTGCGCATGCTAATTCTTCCTCTCAACAACTTCCCTTGGGTGATCAATGGCCTCCTTGAGGCCAAAGTGTCCTTAGACCGGATCCAGCGTTTTCTCGACCTTCCCAACCACAACCCCAAGACCTACTATAGCCAAGGTAATGGGAAGCTAGAGGGTAGAACCTGGCACAGGGTGAGGAGGGAACTGTAGCCCCCTGGGTACTATACATATCTGCTACCAAGAGGAACCAGAGACAGCGGAATCCAGGTAAAACAGGTGGCCATTTCCTGGGGAAGAATCCTCAGACTAAGACTGAGGCTGAATTAGCCCTGGGCAGGTAGATATGGGACAAGCAAGCCAACAACAGCCCCCTGGTTTTCCCGCCCCAAGCAGGTAGGTGGTGGGTTAGAAGGCCAAGCTGTGTGGCTTCCTCCCTATTCAGATCCCCCCACAGAGCCATCAACGGCATTGGAACTGCATGAAGCCCTGTTCTCATGGGACCCAGTTGGAACCAGTCAGGAGACCTTCATCAGTCACCTTGAAGTAAAGAAGGTTCGTTGGTCAGACAACCTATGAAAGTCCCCAGACTAATAAGGAAGATGGGGACTCGGGGACAGATAAACAAGGATGGAGCCAATCTAGCTAGATGGCCCAGTAGCTCTCATTACTGAGGGAAGGACTGGAGGGTTTTGATGAGCAGGATGTAATCAGGGAAGAGATGACACTTTATCTCTAAATGTCGTTCCTCTACATAATTTTTACAAAGCAGTCACACCTTTCCCTGGTCTTTAGACAGCTCACACCCACCAGTCTCTAGACCAAGAAGTGTGTTTGTCTCCTGGGTCCTCCATGTCCCCTCGAGGCTGTTGAGTTCAGAACAGACCTCAGAGCGTATCATAACAACATCTCACCCAGGCTGAGGTGGGGCGGTGGGGAGTGGTGCGGGGAGGGGGGGGGAGGCCCAGCAGCCCCTTCTGACAAGGATTTTGCACATGGGAAGATAATCCTCTAGCCTGTTAAAAGAAATCATACTGTGTGACTCACACCGCAGCATACATCCTCAAAGAAGCACTTGAAAGAACATTCCTGGCAAGATAGCAACTCCCGTTCACTCCAGTCCTGAGTTTTCACGCTCCTCTGACCCCTGTCCGACCCTTTGCCCCACAGCTCAACTCACTGTTCTCCAGTGGTACCTGAACTGCCTCCACCACATTTGGATCACATTTCTGGCTTGGGCTTGTATGGTTTGTTTTTCCTCTTAGTTCAGGCAAGACAAGGCTGGAATTTTTCAAAGGAATTTTACTAATGTGTCAGCTGGGGCTTTTTTGGGGGGGGGTATAAGTCATAGAAATTCACTGGAGCTAGCTTAAGCAAACAAGAATGTATAATAAAGATACAGAGATGAATTGCAGAATCCAAAGGCAAGCCTGCAGCCCAATCTCAGCAGCAGCCCAGAACCAGGCCTCAACTTGCAGAGTTCTCTCCTGTCCTCTCTCTCTATTTGCCTGGTTTTTCTCTGTGAACCCACTCTCCACTGAGCAGCAGATGTGACTGCAGAGAGCCCTCCCACTTATAGGTGGCAGCCAGAAAGAGGGAGCATTCCCAGGGAAGGGTCTCAGGTTTGTCTGCTGCTCACTTGTGGATGAGTCAACCCTGGCTGGCAGGGTGTGGGCATCACAGACAGAGCTCCTGGGAGCCCCGCTGATTTTTAGAGAAGGAATTTTTTTTCCCCTCCTTCTTTTACGGGGAGATAGCTCTATGAATGTATGTCACAACTAAGCAATGAATGGAACACAAAACATTTTAAACTGCAAGTCACAGAAATGGGCACTTCTGAAAGCATTGCTTTTTTCCCCCTGAGATATCAGAAGTCTGGCTTCAGGTGGACTTACCCAGCCCCGTATCCAGGCCCCAAAGACTAGAGCCCCTTTTTCCTCTCTCCCCAGAGCTTTCCTTGGAAGCACTTGGGCAGTTTTCCTCCTATTCTTTGGCATGGTGCTGCTCTCCAGAGGCTCTTCACGTAGACAATGAAATTGATAGCTCCTCTGGGTGAAGAATAAAACACCCTACCTTTCTAGGTCCAGCACAGCTCAGCCTACACAGTGGCGAGTTATTTCCCTACAGACTAACTGGGGCCTAGAGAGAAGCCTCCATAGGATGATTGGTAGCCCAGAGCCTCAGGAAGAGGCCTGACACGTACTTGTGTGGCTTTTTTGCAGGGTGTCCTGGTGGGCATCGTGGGGAAGGTGGGCTGTGGGAAGAGCTCGCTGCTGGCTGCCATTGCTGGGGAGCTCCACAGGTAAGCAACCTCCAGTGACCCCATCTTTGGCTCTGCCCTTAGGAAACACATAGCCCCTGCTATGTGGTGGACACCTCTTTTAGGGGCCAAAGATGCCAAGACGAAGAAGGGGGAGACAATCAAGGAAGCGAATTATTATAACCTTCCTACCTGGGTGTTATTAGTGCTGTAGTAGTGAGTGAAGAAATATGTGGAAACATCCAGTATCAGCTACTCTTTGAGAAAATGTGGTTGTGCAGGGAAGGGGTCCAGAGGGGAGATGAGGCGTGAAGGAGGGCCTTCTTACTTTACGATGAGAATGTGTGAATACAGGGTGGTGGCCACACTCTCTTCTGAGCTTCTGAGCACATCTAGATATACATGCCAGAGGCTTAGCTGCAGCCAAAGAGCAATTTCTTCCCTTCCCAGTCCAGAATGAGCCTACAGCCTCATTTAGGACCTCAGTGGCTGCCAACCCAGAGAGCTATGTGACATGAAGGGGACAGCCATCCGGAAAGGCTTCTGGGAGCCGGGGGCTGAGCATGGAGGGACTCAGTCTGGAGCCAGCTCCCCATGCTGCTCGCCTGGCTCTCTGCAGGCTGCGTGGACGGGTGGCAGTGTGGGAGTTATCCAAAGGCTTTGGCCTAGCCACCCAGGAACCCTGGATCCAGTTTGCCACCATACGAGACAACATCCTCTTTGGGAAGACATTTGATGCCCGGCTGTACAAGGAAGTGCTAGCGGCCTGCGCCCTCAATGACGACCTCAGTGTGAGTACCTGGCCCTGAAACTTCTTGGCTGCCGTCGGCGACTCGCTACTCTGAGAAGGGGTTGCTTCCACTCAGGCATGATTTACCTAGGACTAGCTGTCAGGCTTTGGTCCTCCCAGAGCGTCCAGCTGCTTCGTTCTCTGTTCTGCGTAGGACCCAGAGGGGTGGTGGTGACTGGGTATTTCACACAGCAGCTGGGGGAACCCTGAGGCCTCTGAGGCTAGGGAAGGGTTCCCTATGAGGCCCTCCCCTACCTCCCACTGGGAAAATTTGGGAGAGTCAAGGTTACTCTAGGAAAGCCTGGCGAACCCATTAGATCCCTCACATTCAGAGTAAATTTAGGGGATGGATGAGATTACAGATTTCTCCCATGATTTCCCCACCCAACCCCCATGGCCACTGCAGGACTGTTATTGCCACCACCTTTTCCAGGTAAATGTGGCACTTCCCTGGAAAGGAGGACCTTTGACTTTGACCATTTGGGCATCCTATGTCCATTTATCATTTGTTTCTACATCAAGCATTACCAAAATGTCTGCTGGGTACTGGGAACTGTTCTAGGCACTAAGAAAAGAGATGAATAGCAAAGCTTTTCCCTTAGGGGACTCACCATCTGGTGGGCCACAGGTGCTTCTAGTATGGGGACCCCTTAGCTAAGGAGATTACTCCTGAGGCCATAGGAAGGCTCAGGGTAAATTCGTTCTTGAAAAACCTATGGAAGTTTGCACATCGAATTTCCTCCTCATCATCCTTGCCTGTTAAAAAGGCAGAATAGTTAAGTGTGACGGAGTGGTTAAGAATCTGTGTTTGTGTTCCTGCCCCTTATTAGCTGTCAAACAACCTTGGGCAAGGTAGTGACTGTCTGAGTTTTGGTCTCATCGGTGAAAAGGAAATAACAACACCTTCTTCATAAGGTTGTCATGGGGATCAGATGTGATGATGCCTGTAAAGTGCTAAGCACATAGTAAGTGTTTAATAAATGCCGGCTGTTATTGGAATTGAGGATTATCCCCTATGGCTTGCTCACCCCAATTTCAAGTCCCGTCTTTTCAAGCTCCTTGACTCTCTTCCCTGCAAAGGGATAGGAAATGGGGTAGACTGTATTGGGAAGCTCGCTGACCAACACTGGGGCACCTGTCCCATCAGATCCTTCCTGCTGGAGACCAGACAGAGGTGGGGGAGAAGGGTGTGACCCTCAGTGGGGGCCAGCGGGCCCGGATTGCCCTTGCTCGTGCGGTCTACCAAGTAAGTTAAAAGTGGGGCAGTTGGAGCCTTGAGATCTTGGCTGGGAGGAATGGGATGGGGATATTTTCATCAGCATCCGGTTCCTTCCCTCACCCCTTCATGCTCCTGAGGTGTTGGTCCCTTGGCCATCCCATTCCTCTTTTGTAGATTCAAGGTAGAATTAGAGGCCCTTTAAAAAGCATTATGTGGCTCGAAGCACTGGGACTCAGCAAGCCTGAGCACTGGCTCTGGGACACTGGTCTTGCTTGACTGGAGAGAAGTCCACCCTCAGGTCTCACCTCCTCCTCTACTGCTGTAGGGGTAGCACCCGGAGTTGCTCCGAACCGTCTTCTCTGACTGCGTTGAGATCACAACCTAGGAGAGGTCTGGGTTCTCACTAGAGGACCTGGGACTTGGTGCCCATGGTGCCCCCCACCTCTCTCTAGGAAAAGGAACTCTATCTCCTTGATGACCCTCTGGCTGCTGTAGATGCAGATGTGGCCAACCACCTGATGCACAGGTGCATCCTGGGAGTGCTGAGCCACACCACACGGCTGCTGTGTACCCATCGCACCGAGTACCTGGAGAGGGCTGACGTGGTGCTGCTGATGGGGGCTGGGCGCCTCGTCAGGGCTGGTAATGTGGGCCTCCAGGGCGGGAGCCTGGCCAGCCAAGTGAGGGAGCTATCTACCCAGGTGTGAAGGGGAAGAGGGAAGATGGATTGTTAAGTGCAGCCTCTGCCGCCCTCTCCATGTGTGGCCTGGGCCCGGGCATCCTTGGGTCTAATGGGAACCCCTGTCTCACTTTCACAAACTTGGTGTGAGGAAATGGAGGACAGGAGGGAAAGGAGCGCCTGGGTAAAGTGCCACTGGATGTGGGACTTGGGCTTTGTGACTGGGCGCTTTGGGAGCTTCGAGGCCCAGGATCTCTGAGAACAGTCTGATGATGTCTTTGGAGAAGAGAAAGCAGTCAGTTTTAGAAGTCTTTTTATTAAAAACAAAACAAAACAAACAACAGAAGGAGTATTACCCAGAGGGACATGGCCATCTGCAGGTTCACGGGGAGAGAAACAGGAGGAAATGAGGCTCCACCAGAGTGTTAGGCATTTTGTGAGGCATGAGGAAAAAGCTTGCAGTACCGAGAGGTGACCCTGCACAGAGCGCTTATGGGGTGGCTGTGACTCTCCTTCTAGGGGGGAACATTGTCTGTCTGTGCTGATTGGACTCCAAACACAGAGGGATGGACTTGATGGTCCTGCTCAGAGTCTGGGGGTCCAGGGCAGGGCCTTGCTAGGATGGGTTAGGAGGAGGTCCAAAGAGAATGGGATGTGGATTGGCACACATATTTAGAAAAGCCTAGTGTATTCCCAGAACAGCCCCCTTCTAACCTTCCCTGCTACCTTCCAGGGCCTCCCTCTGAGATCCTGCCATTGGTACAAGCTGTCCCCAAAGTCTGGGCTGAGGATGGACAAGAGTCTGAAACAGGTATGGCTCAGGGGTGAGAGGGAGAGGCTTGCTCCTCACCCCCACACTGGAGAGATATCTGTCTGTAGAGCTTGTCTGCCCCTCTGAGACACTGAAGTTTTCAACTGTCATCCTGCAAATCAGTTCCCCCTGATCCCCCCTGATCCTTCCAGCCACAGCCCAGTCAGTACGGAACCCAGAGAAAACAAAGGAGGGTCTGGTGGTGGAGAAGAGCCCATCTGGCCGCCTGTTGCAGGAGGAAAGCAAGAAGGAGGGCGCCGTGGCTTTCCACGTGTATCAAGCGTACTGGAGGGCCGTGGGCTGCGGCCTGGGCCTGGCCATCCTCTTCTCTCTGCTCCTCATGCAAGGTAGGAGTAAAGCCTGGAGCCCCTTATCCCACCCACAGCCTTGTCTTCTAGGTCCCCATCACATCCATCACCGTGTACTAATCCTTACAAAGCCCAGAGACTCGCCAGGCGTAGGCGACAGTTGGGACAAGAGGCGTGTCCCCAATTCTGAGAGAGTGCCAGAGGCCAGAGGGATGCACTGTATAGCCATATCCTGCCCCATTCTGCAAATTCAATATCAGGCTCTCCCCAGAGCAGAAGGGTGATAGGCCCAGGAAAGAGGTGCACCCCAGGCAGCACAGCAGGGCGAAGGGTAGAAACTAGAGTCAAGGGCCGAGGAATAGAAAGAAGGCAGTGAGTCTTTCTTGCTCCTTTCTCCTTCCCATCCCCACCCAGCCACAAGGAACGCTGCTGACTGGTGGCTCTCACACTGGATCTCTCAGCTGAAAGAAGCCAAGAATAGCTCCCAGGAGGCACCAGTCCCCACCACCCCAGATTCCACAGGGCTCCTTTCTGCCCAGCTGCTCCTCTTCGCTCCTGGAAGCCTCTAGTGAGTGGCTGGGGCTGGGAGCGGGGCTGGGGCTCTCAGCATGGTTGCCAGGCAGGGAGTGAGAGTTGGTGGTGGTGTTCCAGGGACATCTCTGGAGGATGAGGAGCGGTGGTGTGGGGGAGGGGAAGGGACCCCCCAGAGTGGTCCTACTTTTGGTTACCTACAGCCCCCTCCCCACCACCCAGCACCTCAGTGTCCCCACTGCCCAACGCTGCCCCCAATGGCTCCTCAGACATCCGTTTCTACCTCACCGTGTATGCGACCATTGCTGGTGTCAACTCCCTCTGCACCCTTCTCCGGGCAGTGCTCTTTGCAGTGGGCACCCTGCAAGCGGCCACCACCCTGCATCGCCGCCTGCTGTGTCGAGTCCTCATGGTGAGGGGATGGGAGGATGGGGGTGGCGTGGGGGTGGCCCTCCCAATACTTGGGTTCCATTGTGGGGGCCCAACCTACCCCCTAGTCCTCAGAAGAAAATAGCCCGTCACAGATGAGTGCAGCACGTGACAACTTGTGACCTGGAAAGGCCAAGAGCAGAGAGGCTGCCTGGATTCAAACCCAGTTACTCAAGCCTATAGTTTTCTCATCTGGAACATGTGCAGAAGAGAATCTTCCTCAGAGTCACTTCTGTTTTGGACTCGAAGTACAGAGGGCGGAATTGGCCACCCCTGAGTTCATGCAAGGCTCCTTTATTGTTTTACTTATTTATCCATTCCCTTTTATCTGCGTACCCTATCTCTATTTTCCCTCCTTTCCTTGATAAGCAACCATTCTAAGTGTGTTTAATATGCATCTTTTTGTCTTTTTGAGAAATGCCTTATGTTTTGTGTACACATATTTTTATAAACAACTTTCCATTTCTTACCATTTTTTATTTTAGGGCTGTTTCTAAGTTCCATCCTTGTTGCTATGTGTATATCCATTCTAGTCTGTTGCTTATCCCATAGCCTTATTATGAGGATTAAATTAATTAGTACATGGAAAGTGCTTGGGGTAGTGCCTGGTACATAGTAAGTGCTCAATTAGCAATTATTATTCATGTTGTTATTGTTAAAAAGCCCTTGCTTGTCCATTATCTTTTTTGGGCCTCCTAATAACTCAGTGAGGGAGGTACTGCTATCCCACGTTACAGATGAGGAAACTGAGGCTCTGAGAGTGTAAGTGACCTGGGCAAGGCTAGTTCCATGGAGAGCCAGGCTGCGAACCCAGTACTCTGTGGGTCTTTCCATTACCTATCAGGGAGCAGCCGTCCACTGTCCTCTAGGAGTCAAAGAGGGGACAGCTTCAGTCTGTGAAGGAATTTCTCATAAACTGGCATTAGGAGGTACTTCAGAAAGCCCTTTTTAATTTCCTGCCTTAAGATAGGACTGTTCTCCAAGTAAAGACAGAAAGTTGGGGGATGGGGAAGGCGGGGAAATGGAAAGGGGGCTGTCTTTGAGACTACTCCCAATAGTGGTCCAGATAGCCAGCAGTCACAGAGCACTTACTCCATGCCAAGCAGACTGTGCTGCTGTATGTGGTCTTTAATCCTACTAACAGCCCAGTGAGGTACAGCTCCATTGTTATCACTTTTTTTTTTTTTTTCTTAAATCCCTGTTTTTGAAGTGAGGAACAGGGGTCTTTAAGAGATCAAGCCTCTTGCCTGGGGTTTCACACCTACTAAGTGCCAGAGCTGGAATCCCAGTAGCAGTCTGACTCGAGAGCCTGAGTGCTTAACCATGTGATAATACTACTGACATTGACTGCTGCCCTCACCGCTCTTTCCAGCCCTGGGCAATCAGGATGTTCCTCCTGACATAGAACTAAATCTCACTCAAGGGCCTGACATCCTTATCTTCCAGAGAGAGATTAGCTCCCTGCCCTTGAAAGGGGAGTAGGCGTGTGTAGCACAGAGGTAAAGGAATGGCCAGCATGGCCTCTCAGGGCCACCATTGGCCAGAGGGACAAAGAGACTCTATCCTTTTCACTCTGGGCTATTCTTCCTCCAGGCCCCGCCTGCCCCTCCTCTCTGCCCCCAAACTCTGGGAACACTTTAGTCCCTTGCTGTTCTCTACCTTGGGCCTTTCTCTCCCACCCCACCTCCCCCGCAGGACTGTCCCCAAGCCCTGTTCTGCCAGGCCCTGCCCTTGCCCAACCACACCCCTTCTCCCAGGCACCGGTGACTTTCTTCGACTCCACGCCCTCGGGCCGAGTCCTAAACCGCTTCTCCTCTGACGTGGCCTGTGCGGATGACAGCCTGCCCTTCATCCTCAACATCCTGCTGGCCAACACAGCCGGCCTGCTGGGCCTCCTGGCTGTGCTGGGCTCCGGCCTGCCCTGGTTGCTGCTGCTGCTGCCACCTTTGAGCATCACCTACTACCGCGTGCAGCGCCACTATAGGGCCTCCTCCAGGGAGCTGCGGCGCCTGGGGAGCCTCACCTTGTCTCCACTCTACACCCACCTGGCCGACACCTTGGCTGGCCTCCCCGTGCTCCGGGCTGCGGGGGCCACCGACAGGTGTGTGGAGTCTGCCTCTCCCAACCAGAGCCAAAAGGATGAGATGCTGTGGGGAGGGGAGCAGAGGGACCCTTGAGAAGGAAGGCACATATGGGAAAGAAGAAAGAAACAGGAAAAAGGGACAGTGAGGCAGAGCAGATCCTCTTTGGAAGAGCACCTTGGCCTCTCCGTATCCTGACGTGAAGCTCGTGGGTGCGTGGATCAGCTCCAAGAAGGAGACTGAGCTGCTCAGCGCAACAGGAGGGGCCTCACTTCCCTCCTGGCATCCCCCAGGTTTGAGGAGGAGAACCAGAGACTCCTGGAGCTAAACCAGAGGTGCCAGTTTGCTTCCAGTGCCACCATGCAATGGCTGGATATTCGGCTGCAGCTCATGGGGGCCGCGGTGGTCAGTGCCATCGCAGGCATCGCCCTGGTGCAGCACCAGCAGGGCCTCGCTGACCCAGGTACCACCCTGGGACCCTTCCCTCTCACCTCATAAGCATGTGATTCCCACCCCCTGCCCCAGACCTCTCCCTGCACCATCCACCCAGCATTTTCACCTCCCACCCAGGGTTCTCTGTGAGGATGTGTTGTAATTCTCCTGCCCCACCATTTTAGAGTTGAGGAAACTGAGTCCGAAAGAGTGATGTGCCCAGATTTGATGGATCTGGGACTAGAGCAAGTCTTCTGACCTCTGCTCCTTCCTGCTCCACCCCCATCTCCAGCACTCTGCCAGGCCCACCTGTTATCCTTCCTAGCTTCTCCAGGCCCACTGCATTGCCTTGCATCTAGCCTCCGGTGGTCCTGCTCTGGTGCTGGCATCTTCCTGCTTCTCTGCTGGCCTCCTTTAAGTGCTCACAGTCCACAGCTTGGGATTCTCCGATCTGCCTCGGCCCTCACCACACGCATCCCATTGTCCGAGCCTCCCCTAGTGGCTGGCGCTTCTCTCCCCGCAGGACTGGTAGGCCTGTCACTGTCTTACGCCCTATCCCTGACGGGCCTGCTCTCTGGCCTGGTGAGCAGCTTCACGCAGACGGAAGCCATGCTGGTGAGCGTGGAGCGGCTGGAGGAATACTCCTGTGATCTGCCCCAGGAGCCCCAGGGCCAGCTGTCACAGGTAGGCCTGCACCCCGGCTTCAGGCCTAGGCGCTGGAACCCTGAAGGACCTTCCAGTGGCCCCAGTCTCTTCCCACGTTCCTTTCCTTTCACTCCTCACCAATTTTCTCAGCTCCTCTAATGTCCCCGCGTGATCGCCCCTTTCTTCACCATGCCCCTCATCTTTGTGTGCATTTTCTCCATCTCTCCTTCACGTGCCCTCCTTTCCCCCACGTTTCCTCTCATGCCATCCATTTCTTATTATTTTTCCCCTCCTTCCACTCTCCAATGCCCCCTTTTCCTCCCCATGTCTCCCCATCTCCCTGTGTCTCCCACCAACCAACCCCACCAGCTAGGCACTGGCTGGCTGACCCAGGGAAGCGTGGAGTTCCAGGATGTGGTGTTGGTGTACCGGCCAGGGCTGCCGAATGCCCTGGATGGGGTGACCTTCCGCGTGCAGCCTGGAGAGAAGTTGGGCATCGTGGGCCGCACAGGCTCCGGCAAGTCTTCCCTTTTGTTGGTGCTCTTCCGGCTGCTGGAGCCCAGTTCCGGGCGAGTGCTGTTGGATGGACTGGACACCAGCCAGCTGGAGCTGGCCGAGCTCAGGTCTGGGGGAGGGAGGAGAGGGGAGCCAGACTACTGGCACTTAGAGGAAGGCCCAGCCAGGAAAGCTTTCCATCAACTCAGGGCAGCCAGGGCCGATCAGGGGTGAGACGGAGGACAGGGCCAGTAGGCGAGGATAGCGAGCTCCCAGTGCACTAGTCTAGGGTCCTAGCTGGGGTCTCAAGGTCTTCAGTCTGATCCAGGCCCACCTTTCCAGCTTCATCTTTCTTGCACTTCCCAGCATACGCCCTGTACTCTAGAGCACCAGTCACTGCATCTTGAATCACAGCGTCCCTGGTGCTATGCCTGAGATACCCATCCTCTCAGCCCTCGGGCTTGGCACATGGTGCTTGGGACAGCTTGTGACCTGGGCCAGTTGCTCCTGGCCACGTCTTGGGCTAAACATCTCCCCCCACCATCCCCAGGTTAGCTTAGTATCATTTTCACTAAGTTTCATGACATGGAAAAGATAGGGAAGCTCTGTTCTAAAGCCCATTGGTGATTCCAGGCCCTGAGCCTACCCTGTCTACCTTCTCTTCTAACCTGTGGTGGCCTTATGTTATAGCTCCGCCACAGGCTCCACAGGACCCCATTCCAGGCCCTCTAACCTTGAAGCACCCCCTACACGCTCAAACTCCCTGTTCAGTCCTTGCCATCACTGCTGTCTCAGTGACTGCTGGAGTCAGTGCTACAGAGTTAGCCCACTCTCGTTCTCTGTGTTTCGTGCCTCAGTGAGATATCAGCTCCTTAAGGACAAAGCCTAGGTCTTTGGTGTTTCCTCATAGCACCGGCACAGTTCTAGGAACATGGCCAACCAGCTGGGGAGCAGAGTGAGGGTTATGGGCAGGTCTTGCCAAGCTTTCCTGGGGGTGCTAGACCTATAGCTGAAACCTGTGCTGGGCGCAGAAATGGCCACATCTCCAGCCTAGACCCCATGTCCTGTCCCCTTCTTGTCCCCCAGATCCCAGCTGGCTATCATCCCCCAGGAGCCCTTTTTGTTCAGTGGGACTGTTCGGGAAAACCTGGATCCCCGGGGCCTGTATGAGGACAGGGCCCTGTGGCAGGCCCTGGAGCAGTGCCACCTGAGTGAGGTGATCATATCCATGGGTGAGTACCAGGTCCTGCCCTGCAGGGTGGGAGAGGAGGGAGCAGGGAGGGGGCTGGGAGCTGGGGGTGAAGATGCTGTGCCTTGCAGGTGGTCTGGACAGTGAGCTGGGTGAGGGGGGCCGGAGCTTATCGCTGGGGCAGAGGCAGCTGCTGTGTCTGGCCAGGGCTCTCCTCACAGATGCCAAGGTAAGGTGAGAGGAAGAGACATTCGAGAAGGCCGAGAACATGGTAGGGGCATGTTAGGAGTACAGAAGTGGGTTGGGGAGAGGTCTCAGGGACCAAGTTAGTTTTCCTTTTAGAGCTGGAGGTGAGGAGCTGTAGGTTGGGCTGGGCCAGTTAGGAGGTGGGGACTGGTGCTTGGAGAGGAACCAGGGCTAACCCTCTTCCCCCACCTCTTGCCACCTCCTCCACGTGTTACAGATCCTGTGTATTGACGAGGCCACAGCAAGCGTGGACCAGAAGACAGACCAACTGCTCCAGAAGACCATCTGCAAACGCTTTGCCAACAAAACAGTGCTGACCATTGCCCACAGGTGTGCAGGCGTCCAGCATGAGACTCTAATTAGGGTCTATGGTATCAGGACCCCCAGGGGTCAGGGCCCTAGAGAGTCTAACCCCCCATGAACCTCAGCTCCTCATTCTCCTAGCACATTGTCTGGGGGATCTGCAGCTTCCATCCCATAGCACTGAGCCAGGGGTAAAGCCTGTGGGTAGACCTGGCTGTCCATGGGAGGAGAGGAGGGAACACGGGCCAGCTTTCTGCTTTAGGGCATTGTCCCCCATGCCGCCACTGACCACATGCTTCCACACAGGCTCAACACCATACTGAACTCGGATCGGGTGCTGGTGCTGCAAGCCGGGAGGGTCGTGGAGCTGGACTCCCCTGTCGCCCTGCGCAACCAGCCCCACTCGCTGTTCCAGCAGCTGCTGCAGAGCAGCCAGCAGGGAGCCCACTCCTCCCCCTGAGGGCCCTCCAAGGTCTCCCCTCTGTCTTACCCCTGCTGGGCGGCTTAGAGCTGGCTGCTTGTTTACATTCTCTTCCACGGCTCTACCTCAGTTGGCACTTCCCCAGGGGGGAAAAGGTGCCCTGGGTTCCTCTTTGGGAATCACTGTTCAGGCAGAGGCCCAAGGTTTGTGCAGAGCCAGACCTCTGCCCTGGCCCTCTTACCTCTGTGACTCCAGGCAGGTTTTTCTGGCAAAGGAGCCCACTTACACTCCCACAGTTTTATTGGATAAAATTCCCATTTTACATTCTGTGTATTAAAAAAATAATATTTCTGGTGTGAGGCTGCTGAGGGGTGGCAAGAAAGAACCACTCCAGTCTGAGGGACAGAGGAGGTGAAGGAGGGGGCAGGAAAGCCCCCACTTCCATCACAGTGCTGTGGTCTTTCCAGGCTCAGGGGGCATGTCAGGCAGCATGCTAACCTGACATTCCTGGTCCTGGCGTGCTGGGGCGTAGTGTGGTGCAGGGTAGCAACAGGGTCCAGGGGGACAGACACCTCGGCGCCAGGCCCTCAGGGTCAACAACGCCGTTGACAGGACCAGGGCAGCAGTGAGGGCCCCAAACACCACCATGGCCACCAGGCTAGACTCACCAAGCCCGGCCTCTTGCCTCCGCACCACCTCCTTCACGGAGATTCGCAGCAGACCAGCCCCCGCACTGTGAGGGACAGGTCCCGTGGCTGGTACCGCCGCAGCTGAGGTGGGCCCCGGGGGGATGTCTGCTGTGGTGGCGGGGTCTGGGACAGGTAAGACTAGCTCACAAGTCTTGCCGCCATAGCCACTGGGGCAGAGACAGTCGAAGTCATGGACACGGTCCCGACAGCGGGCCCCTCTCTGGCATGGGCGGCTGGCACAGTCATCCAGGTTGATGGTGCAGAAGCGTCCAGCAAAGCCCTCAGGGCAGAGGCAGGAGAAGCGGTTTATGCCGTCCAGGCAGGTGGCGCCATTAGCACAAGGCCGCATCAGACAGTCATCTACATTCACCTCACAGTGGGCACCCACATAGCCTGCTAAGCAGCGGCAAGTGAAGTTGAGGGCAAAGCCCTGGTCGTCCTGGCACAGCCCGCCGTTCCGACATGGGGAGCTGGGCGGAGGTGGGAGAGGGCATTGATACGAACTCACATCTGCAGGGTAGCCCAGGTCAGCACCCTGACCGCTGCCACCCCAACCCCACTTCCAGCTGTGTCACGTTGAGCTACTCTCTCTGAGCCTGGAATGCCTCATTTTAAAAATGGGAATACAGGTAGTACTCAGCTTCCCAAATAGGGGTAAATGAGATAATTCAATGTCAAGCAGTTAGCATGGGGCCTGATCCAAAGGCAAAGCTCAAGGCAAGTATATTATTATCCTGAAGGGCTCTCAGGCCAGAGGCGGACATGAGGACAAGTCCAGCCCTGCCGCCCGTGTCCTTATGCACACAATGAGGCATAAGGCTGCTCTGTGGAACATCCTTAGGGGCTACATGGCAGCTTTCCTCAGAGGATGAACGGAGTCCTAGGTCCTAAACCTCCCCATACCCCCGTCCGCACACACTGATTTGTTACCCTCCAGCTCCTGTAGATTTTTGTTATTGAAGAAATGGTTCAGGTGGTATAGAAAAAACTAAGAAACTCTGAACTGAAAGGGACACTTTGGCAGGCTGGGGTTTTATCCTGCATTGCCCCCATGTGGGACTTCTGACCCTCAACCCTAATACTTCACCATCACCCTCTCAACAGTCCTGCCTCCTCCTGTCTCATCTAACCTCACACTCACCCCATGGGGCCAGCACTCACCCAGCCTGCTCACAGGGTCCTGTCTTGCGCTCACAGTCCCGCCCATGAAAGCCTGGTGGGCACACACAGTGGTACTCGCCGCCCCCGTCATATATGCACTGGCCTCCATTCCGGCAGGGGGACTGCGTGGTACAGATGTGCTCATCTGGAGAGGAGAAAGGGAAGGCTCTGGGATAGCCCCTTCCATCTGGCACCCAGACCCACCCATGGCTTCGGGTATGGCGCTTACTGCAAACCCACCCAGGCTGGTATGGCGAGGTGGGGGAAAACCACACTGCATTTGGAGTCAGGAGGCTCCTAGCCCTGGCGGTGTCAGTCTGTCTCACAGTAACTTTGGGCAAGTTGTATCTCATCTGTGGGTCTCAGTTTCCTCATTTGTAAGATGAGTACCGTTTTCGGCAGTGGCCTTGCCTACCTCATAGGGTTATGCTGAGGGCCAATTCAGACAGCAGATAGGTATAAAGTCTCAAATGATGTCATGTAGAGGATTTGAGCTGGACACAATAGGTGCTCAATAAATATAGATGGATATTCTCCCAAGACACATGGGTCCCCTCCCCCAGACCAACAGCTACCGTTTACTCTCCTACCTTTGTCACAGAACTTGCCCGCCCAGCCACTGTGACAGATGCACTGCCAGGGCTGATGGCAGGAACCATGCTGGCAGCCAGGCATCTTCACACAGCGCTCACAGTGCAGCCCTTCCCAGCCTGGATCACACCTGATGGGGAGAAGCGCAGGGTCAGGGCTCTGGGTAGGTGGATGTGAGGAAATGAAGGCAGCAAGACCAGAGCTTTTAGGAAACAGGACATAAATAGTCCCTACAGGGAAGCAGGCCTATTCCAGATAGATGCAGGATAATAGGCCACCTCTGTGGAATCAGACCATCAGACACCAGCACTCAAGTCCTGGTTCTGCACTTCATCTAATCTTTATGAGCCTTCATTTTATCATCTGTAAATTGGGATACACTTGGCAGGGATGTGTTGAGGAAGAAACTAAGATGACATCTGTGAATACCCCCAGTACTACTCCTGGCGTGTCTGAGGAGCTCAGAAGTTTACTTTTTAAAAAGTAACCTTAAAAGGTCATTAGGACTATCTTCCTACTACCCTGATTCCAGGGCAAAGGCCTGGCCTATTTTTTTTAAAGCCCTCCAAGGATGGAGAGTCTGAAACATGCCCAGCCCCCACCCCCAGCAGCTTGCCCTGTCAGGTCATTTCCTTATGTCCACCCAGACACAGCTTCCTCCTGCTACCGAATTTGCCCAACCCCCACCCCAGTGAGTCAATCACTCAAATTCATCAGGAAAAAATCCTCTTTCATAAGTGCTTCTCCTGGGCAAACCTCCTGGCAGCCTTTCTCTTCCAGGCTGAACCAATTCTCTGTATATCTTTCCTTTATTTCTCCCTTTCCTCAAGACTCCCAATCTCCAAATTCTCTCAAGCTTCAGGTCTTTCTCCTGGTATCCTGAGAAGGAATGTTTCAGAATTCCTGGATCAGACTTGGAAGAGTAAAGTGGGGACGATATAAACTGGAAGAAGGAAAAAGAGGCAAGGCAAAGGGGACTGGCGGTCTGGGGAGGCTGGCCAGTCTGCCCTGTGTGCCATGAGGGCATAGGGAGTAAACAGTAGGGTATTAAACCCCTAGTCTCTCTGTCCTGGGGCTTAACCTGGTTGTGGGTGTGAAGGGCTGGGAAGTGGGGAGCAAAGGGTTTAGGAGCACGTGCTCAGGAGAGGTACCTGCAGGAGCCATCAGGCGCACAGCAGCCGTGGGCCAGGTCACAGTGGGAGCTGCAGTCATCAGCTGCAAGAGATTGATGTGGGAGGGGTGAGCCCGGGGTCCGGGTTGGGCTCTCTGAGATACGGGTCTCGGGAGAGGATGCAGGGTCCCAGGAATTGGGTGGGTTCAGCTCTAGGGCAGGGGATGACAGAGATTCGTCCCGTTCCAAAGGGATCATTTGGGTCTCACCAACCCCGCGGGTCCGAGTGGCTGCAGTGCAGTCTCTGACCGGCAGAGGTCAACGTGCAAGCGAGGGACAGCGGGAGAACGCCGCGACCTGAGCCCGGAGCGCGCTCACCTCGGGCAGGCTGAACGGGTGCCCCAACGATGCACAGCAGGCACATGAGATGTAGACAGCGGCAGCCGCTGAGCATGGTCAGCGCCGGCCCCGAGAGGAACGGACAGACGGACGGCCGGACGTGCGGACACCTGTGGGACAGCACAGGCGATCGACGCGGAGATAGCGGCACGGCGCCGGTTCCTGTTCCGAGTGACAGGAGCCGAGGGGTAGAGGGGGCGTCCAGACAGAAGAAGGGGGTAGGGGCAACGGGAGGGCGGGGGCTGGGAAGGGTTGAGCCGGCAAAGGCACTGGGGACCAGGACCCGGGAGCGAGCTCCGTGTGAAGAAAACCAAGGATGGACAGCGCGGAGCGCAGTCAGGGCGCAGGAAGGGCCGGCGCTGGGAACGCAGCAGAACGGAGGAGTCCGCGGGGATGGGAACAGCGCTGAAGGGCGGTCTCCAGCACAGAGGGGACCCGGGGGGCTGGTTCCCGGCAGTGAGCAGTCTCCGATCCCACCCCCGACTCTAACAAGGACTTGCTCCCACGTCCCCTTCCCAGCTCCATCGCCTTGGGCTCGGCCGCGGCTTCGGGCCTGGAGTCCCCGAGCGCCTCTGCCCTCGCGGTCCTCACCTCGAGCTCAGAGGCGGCGCGCCCAGGGCGCAGAGCGAGGCCGGATCGACGGGCTCCGCCGTGGGGCCAAGCCAGGGCGCGGGGCCGCCCCTAGCGGGCCGCGGGGCTGGGCGCCGAGGCGGCTGCCATGCGAGCCGAGCGCTCGGGAATCTGGGGCTCAAGGCGACCCCGAGCGGCGGCGGCGGCGGCGGCGGCGGCGGCAGCGGCAGCAGCGGCGGCGGCTCCTCACGCGCACTCAGGCCGCCTGCCAGGGGCGGCGTGTGCCGGCGGAGCCCGCCTCTCCGCTTCCCTCCCTGGGCTGCCGCTGGCCCGCCCCCCACCCGCCGGCGTCTGCCGCCAACCCCACTGCCACACACGGCTCACACCCCGCCGCGGCGCTCGCCCCTTCCCGCACGGCCTTGCTCTCCCTTGGCTCCCCACCCTCCGCTGCCACCTAACCTCTCCGAACCTCGCTTTCTTCATTGAAAGGAGGAAATTATGGGAGTCTAAGTGGGAGCGGACTATCCAGTGCCGGCTAGAGGCGCGCAGCCCTATTATTCTCGCATGACGGCTTTGCTGACTCGCACCCTTCACCCCCTGCCCCACCTCTGCTCTCACCAGTCCGCTTCCCATCACGCTTCGCATATGTATCCCATGCACGCCCAGCGCGCAGTGCCACTCCCCGCCCTCCTTCTGTCACCAGCCCACGCCTCCTCCCTTTGTAAATCCTCCATCACCTGCTTTATCTGCCTGCTCCTCTCCTCCGCGCCCTCCGCTTCTTTCTCGCCTCATTGCCATCCACAGCCTTCCAGGATCAACCCATGCCTATATACGTATCAGTCTGCCCCACCCCCATCCATCCCTCTGTCAAATCCGTGTTTCCCACTCCATTCCTTTCCGTGACCCGCTACTGGGAAGCCCCCTGTATTGGGAACGCCCCTGACTCCGTAAATGTGCCCCCCTACACCAGTTCCCACTTCTGTACCCCAGGTCACATTCGTTCTTGACCTCAAGCTAGTCATTTAACTGCCCAAACCTAGAGATCTGAGAGAGTTCTGTGGGGGGACTGAGAGAGTTCTGTGGGGGGATTGAGAGAGTTCTGGGGGGGGGGATTGGGGGAGAACTACCCTTCAGGCTAATGACTCAAGAGACATCTGTGTAAGGCAAGGACAGGAAACAGTTTCTCGTCTGCACAGGGAGTGAGGGCAGAGGTTAGGAATGCCACTTAAGCCTTCAGATCAAGGTTTCACCACCTTTAAGTTCAAAATATTGGAAGGAGGCGTCTCCAGCCCGTGCAGAGCAGCTTCCTATAGACACCCCCACAGGGACAGAGCCTCTGGACTAATTTTTCTTTCCGTCTCCATTGGACATAGCAGCCACACGCAGCACATCTCTCTAGCCGTCTTCCCCAAAACTCTAATCACCGGAAGAGCTCTCTGAATTTGAGTAATGTCATGGCTCTAACCATTTATTTTGTTTGTTTTTCAGTAAAAAATTGCAAAGAACCTATAATGTCCAAATTACAGTAGGTTATAGATTATGGTATATCAACACTATGTGACTATTAAAAGTCACATTTTGAAGTCTAAAGATGTCAGAAAAAAGCCATGAATATGTTAAGTGAGGGAGGAGCAAGAAAAAAGGCAGAACGTATGTCCATATTGGCAGTGATTTTTGTTCTGAATGACCGAACAAAATGTAGGGGTTTTTTTTCTTATTGATGCTTTTCTGCATTTCCCCCTTTTCCACAATGAAGATGTACAGCTTTTTTTATTAATATGAAAGAAATTGAATAACATTAAAGAACTTTTAGACTAAAGTATAAAGAAAAAATCCAGAGCTACTTGCGGATGAGTCCAATTGGCTTCTGGAAATCAGGTGCCCAGATGATCCAGGACTAGTTGGCTATGTCATCTGGAACCTACACCAAGAGATGCAGTCAGCATCTTACAGTAAATGTTCATGGAAGCTAAAAAATTTACCTTCTTTTTTCCTTTCTCCTTAAGATACCAGACAAATCAATCATAATTTCTATACATAGCTGTAAAAAAACCTATCTTCTGTAAACGTTTTTGCCAATTTATTTATTCCTACCTTATAATTAAAATCAAATGTCTATCTGGCTCACCAAAATAAAGAAGGAAATAAATAGATAAATAAAAGTATCACCCATGATCCAACTAGCATGATAAAACCACTATTGTTTTGGCCACTTTTCCTATCCAGATGTTTTTATAGAGTACCTGTAATGTGGTGTGGTGCCTTTTTAACTTCACATAACATATTGATAGTTCTCAAAAACATAATTTTTAATGCCTACATGATAGCCCATTAAGTAGCTAAATCATAATCTGTTTAACCTAGCCCTTCTTATTGTATACTTACTCATGGATCCTTACAAAATTGTGTTTGCTTTTTTGCCATTATATATTCATTCAATAAATACTAACTGAGCACCTATGTGCTACTACTATGTGCCAGACATTCTAGGCATTGGGGACACAGCTCCCAGATAAATAGTAGTGCCACAAGTTTTCATGCATATAGTTTTTTCCATGGTTTGGGTACCTTCCTTAAGATAAAGTCTAAATTGATGAATGACTGAGTCAAAGAAGCTTTGAAAAAATGAACAGTTCCTCCTTATTAATGAAATTCATTGACATTCAACAGTAAAGACATTTGAAGCTTTGGAGGTTGATGGCATCAGACTGTATCACTTACTACTCCCTCATGCTTTGAAGATTTTAGCACCTGGCTTGTTACTCTCTTCACTCCCACTTCTGTCAAATTCTTGGAGATTCTTGATGATTCAGTACCACATAGACAATCTTCTAATAAATGTGATAGTTCGTTTGCAAAGATGACCACTATACTTCCTCCTGTCCCATGTGACCCTTTGCTATGATTTTGCTGCTCCTCCCAACAAGAGGTGGAGTTTGTTTTTCAATCCCTTGAATCTGGGCTGGCCTTATGACTTGCTTTGACTAAAAGCATGTGACAGAGATGATATTGTGTGAGTTCCTAGAGTCTGGGCCTCAAGAGACCTTGCAGCTTGCCCTTCGCCTTCTTAGAACACTCCCATCACGTAAAGCAGCCCAGTCTAGCCTACTGGAAGATGAGAAGCCCCGTGGAGGAGAACTGGAATGCCCTGGCCGCCAACCACCAGACATGTGAAGTCATATTACCCAGCCCGTCAAGCTCCCAGATGACTGCAGGCATATGAGTATGCTTTGGCATGATCAATAGAACTGCTCAGTAGAGCCCAGCCTAATATTACCAAACGGTGAGCAGATAAATGGTGGTTGTTTAAGCCACTAAGTTTTGGGGTGGTTTATTGATATGGTAATAGATGACTGATAAAACCAGCTTCCCAGTTCCCTGATTTCTTCTTGTCCACTAACGAGAAGGATGGTCCCAGCCAAACCTTGTTACTACCAATACGTCACACTCCATTATTTCAATTTTAAGTGTCACACTTTCCTGTTGCCCACACGTATGTTTTCAGCCCATGTCCTTTAGTACCTGGACTCAAATAATTTTGGAGACTTAGGTTGTGTTTACTTTTTGCCATTATAAATGCGTTTAACAAATATTGAGTTGAGATCTACTGGGATCGCTGGGACACATAACAACTTTTGTGGGCCTTGGGCAGTTTGCCTTTATGCCCCTTTCCTCCACAAAAGAATGTTAAAAATTATATTTTATGACTGCATTGGTATAAAGACAAATATAACCCATTAGATTCATTATTATACAATAAGTCCTCACTTAACATCATCAATAGGTTCCTGGAAACCATGACTTTAAGTGAAACGATGCATATCAAAATCAATTTTACCATAGGCTAATTGATATAAACAAGAGTTAAGTTCCTACTGCATATTCTGGTCACAAAAACATCACCAAACTTCTAAATAAAGACCCAAAAACACTTCTAATACTAAGCATTGAAATAAATGTGAGCTATACATACATTTAAGGAAAATTAATAAAAACAAGTAAGATAATTATTTTCCAACCTGCTTATTCCAGTTCAGGGTCGCAGATGGCCGGAGCCTGTCCCGGCAGCTCAGGGCCAAGGTGGGGACCCACCCTGGACAGGACGCCCTTCCATCACAGTGCGCAGTCACACGCACACCCACACTCACTCAGACTGGGTTAATGTAGACACACTCACGTGCACAGCTTTGGGATGTGGTAGGAAACCGGAATCCCTGGAGAAAACCCACACAGAGGTGAGGAGAACGTGCGAACTCCACACAGGCAGTGGCCTGGCTGGCCCTGGAGTTTTGTTTTTTTTTCTTGACTCATCAACGATATAACAAAATGATGTTGAATGAAATAATGTTACTCAAGGACCTGCTGCATACTCATTTTTATCATTTTCATTTTTTTCTTCTGATTTTAAAATACATTAAAACATTCTGTGGGTCCCTAAAAGAACTGTGGGCCTTTGGCACGGTGCCTCCTGTGGATAAGTTGGCCCTGTCTCTCATCCTTCGATCCTACTTCCTTTGCAGTGTCCCCTACCTCCATCACACCCACCCTTCCCTCCTTACCCAGCTTTGACTCTATGATCTATCACTGTAATCAGTCCCTTGCATATACCAACTCCCTGGCTCTTCTCTCCCACCATGTTCAGCTGGTAAAACCCTGCCGCTGTGCCCTCTCCAGCCTGCACCTGAGCAGCTGAATGGTTGGAAAAAACACATCTCCAGGCTGACTGATCTCACTTAAATGCATCCCTTCAAACAGCATTTGTGTTGACCACCAACATGCCTGCACTTCCTCAGTTGTGTGCACTCTCCCACCCTCCTCGACAGTTATTTTTACCTTCTCCGCTCTCCTCCAAACTCCAACCCCTCCTCCTTTCCCTTCCCTCTGCTTGTGGTTTTGCTTCCAACTTTATGGAGAAAATAGAAGCAATCTGAAGAGAATTTCCCCCATGCTTCCGCCACCTACCTGCATCTGTCTCCATATGCTCTCATCCCTCATGTTACCATAGAAGCACTGCCTGCGTTCTTACCTAGGTGAATCCCTCCACCTGGGTACTAGTTCCCATCTCTTCTTACCTATGTAACTACAGGGCTTCACCAGTTTTCCCCATCTCTTCTGTGTCATCAGTTTGCCTATTTTTTTTTTAAAGATTTTTTTTATTGGGGAATTGGGGGGATGGGAACAGTGCTGGGGAATTGGGGGAAGGGGAACAGACAAGTTGCTGTCATCTTGTTCCTCAGTCTAGTTGCAGAGGATGTTGCTTCACTGGCCCAAGTTGGCACCATCATTGCGCTCTTCCCAGGCGAGGCAGATCAGTCGCCGGCTTCTGGACGGCCGCTCACTGCGGCTGTTGGCCGCTCACGCTGGCTGCTGGCTACACACTGTAGCCCATGGCAACCCACTGCGACAGGGGCTGCAGCCTACGCCGTCGCTGGCGACTCAGGACAGCCCAGCTCCAGGTTGAGCTGTTGTTCAGCATCTTAGCTGTAGAGGGCAGTGTCACTGGCCCTCATATGTGGGATCCGAACCGGGGCCTCTGGCATCCCAAGCCAGTTCTTAACCATCGCGCCACTCGGCCGGCCCCAGTTTGCCTATTTCT